GAAAATTTTGAATAATTTTTGAGATCACAAGTATTTTTATTTCTAGTTTAGTAAACTTTACTTATTTGTCGATATAAAAAAGAATTTAAAGCAGATAAATTTAAAAACATTTATCCATGAAATCAATTTATTTATACCCGAGTGATTTCGCACAGGTTGTGGTGGAATACACAAAATACATAAATATATTATTTTATACTTATTTGTAATTAAAAAAGCTATGCATTAAATTTAATTTCAATAATTAACTTACATATAAAATTAATTAAGCATGCACTCAATAAGGTAAATTAATTGTTTTCGAATCATTAATTAATTTCAATGCATTTGCATATAATTATGAGATTTTTTTAAGCATGTGAACAGTACAAATTATGTGAGAAATATACAAATGAAATAAAATCAGAAGAAATAATATATATTATATATTTAATAAAAACAAAATCCTAAAGTACTTTAACTAGTTATGTTTAAAAACAGTAATAAAAACTAAAACAAATAACCGTAAAAACTAAAATTAAAATCTTACTAATATAAAATTAAACAAAAAGGCAGGTTTTTCTAAGAAAAGTCATCACAAGTATTACCCAATTTTTCCTCAATTAGTGAAAATACACTAATTATGCTTAGGAGTTACTTTTCCTTAATAACGCAATTTGTTAAGTGTGGGTAGTGCAATGACAATGAAAAACATATTTCTCTAATTTATTGCTTTGTTTACATTACCTTTTTTGGTTATCAGCTAAAAGATATGCTTTGTGAAACCCTCTCTAGCATTAACACAGGTACAAAGTTAATCTTAGGAAGCGAAGGCATTTGAAAAAAAATTCGCCTACTTTTCCTTGTTAAAGTAATATTATAACGCAATATTATGTGGTAATATGGTTGCTCGTTAAAGATCGAAAACGAAATAGTTACCAAGACCAAAAATATTATTATATAAAATATATAGTATACATATAATATACATATTTAATATATATGTAATATATAATATATATGCATACAGAAGATGAAATATGTGTATAAACAGATTTTTGTAGTATTTTGAATTCAATATTTTATTTATTTTTATTATTTTTTTATTACTTAAGCTACTGTTTTATATTTGCACTTTATTTAACTCGTATTTAAGATGTTATTCATTAAATAAAACACGATTTTGATCGAGATTTTGATAAAAATTTTATCGTAGTAAATTAATTGGATCTTGCCATTAGTTGTGAACTACAATATCATTAGAATATTCTCAACGGGACATCTTGTAGTACTACTAGTCTATAGTAATATCCTTTTGAGATAGTTTGCAATAACTCTCCGGGACATAGTTACCAATTACTTTAGCCATAACTTAATGGAAATTCTATGATTGGATATTTTTTTTAATCAGTTCTATTTATTATTTAGGCTAGCCTAGTTTTATTGTTGAGATACAAATAAAAATTAATATTTATATCATCATTTTAATCCCACCTAATAAATACGTATAACATTATACGACAAAGTGTCTATTAAATAAGGTTTGTGTTAAACAATTTTATATTATTTACTTTATAATATGTTATGCTGACAATCACAATATGAAGTAGGATTGCATATTTCGTTTTTTTTTAAACTACTGAAAATTTATTTATATTTTTATTCTCAATATAACAATTACTAAAAATTGACCATCAAACTCTTTACATTTAAACACAATGCAAAAATTTTTTCGATTATAAGTTAAAAAAGTAAATTATATTTTAATGTATAAACTCACTCTTGATAGACTGCATATTATTTTAATACAAAATATATATAAATAAATTTGATTTCAACATCAATATGACGGTAGTGACTATTTTACTTAATAGTAACTATTGTATTTAATAGAGAGGTTTTGTTAAGTATTGAACTACAAGAACAAAAACTCTTTTCATATTATTTTAATTAATTGAATTTTATACAGCTATTTCGAGTATAACATATATAGTATAAAACATATATACATAGAAAATTATAATTAAAATTGTAGCATCTGGACACACTTTCACTTATTAAGCCTTTATCATCATTAGTTTTTTCATTCAATAGTCGCAGTACAATCTTGTATTTTTATCTTTCTTTAAGACCAACATTACATATATGCTAGGTTGGTTGTTAATCGTAATTTTCTAATTCTGCTACACATCGCGACTGGGAGTCAACCACTGGTTTGCATAAATAAATGACGTTAATTTAGGTCTCCCCAAGCGCATTATCAATTAAATCTTGAAAAACACTTTTGCCGAAATGCACGGTTTTCATAATTTTCTATCGCATTAATATTTCTTATTTGGCGTCTAATCTAGTTTATTTTTCTTCATGCGGAAGGGAATCCTTTTTTCTTTGCTCTTTTATCTAATTATTTTTCCTCTGCGTTTATTATAAAATTGACTTTTTTCAAAATATCGTTCCCCAACACTGCGAGATTCGAAATAAAATGTCTCTCTTACTGAAGACAGGAAATGCAATTTGCAGAATGACGTCAACTTTTATCTTGTAGGTTTTACCCTACTTCATTAAATTGTTTATTTGTTTACTTAAATGGTGAATATCCAAACGCCACAATCTCTGTAATGAAACTACAGTAGTATATTCTAATACATTATGTTAAATAAGTTATGTTAAGATCAATTTATGTTAAATAAGCTATGCTAAGATAAATTTATGTTAAATAAGTTATGTTAAGAAAGTTGTGTTAATAAAGTTATGTTAAGAATCTAGTTAAAGTTAAACACTTATGTTAAGAATTCTAGATTAATACGGCATTTACATTGGTCGAAAATGGCTCATTTTAGTCTAAAATAGAAAATAAGAAGCGAATGGCTCATTCTTGCATACAAAATTTCCGGCGCGAATGCGATCCATTTCATCACATTCTGTATGAATGTGTCCCAACGACGTTCCAATGCGTTCCAAATATGTTCCACATACGAAGGAATACATTGAACATATACTAAATAAAAGCTCTTCATGGCATTTTGACAGTTTGAGAAAGCTGTTTTTGAACTATTTACAAAAAAAGGTAAACAAATATTTGGTGGTTGCATTTTCTTGAAAACGATGCACCTCTTTTTAGAACTTCTACTTCCCAAAAAGTATTTAATCGAAATTAAAAATATGTTTTCAGTATACATTTTAAGGTTTGAAGGTATATTTAACCTTCATATAAAATTTTTTTGCACAGGCCAAAAATCATATCAACAGGCAAGTTAAAAAATCAGCTGTTTGAAATGAGAACAAACGAATTACAATGAATGTAAACGGTTTCAAATGACTCATTTAAAATGAGCTATTTTCGGTCAATGTAAACGCCATAAGTTATGTTAAGTAAAATAATTCTAATTATAATTATAACAGCACTAAAAGTCAACAAATCTGATTCTGAATACAGTTATCAAAGCGCCGAAAACCCCCTGACCTTCTTCAGACAGCAATTCCTCCCAACAATTCTGCAAAATTGCTAAAAGTAGAATATTTTGCTCCCTTAGCGAGAATTCTTATTACTGGATATTCTGCTCCCTTAGTGGAAATACTAATACATTGAAAGTTATAGGCAAATATTATACTACCTACTGTTGTTATTTGGCTTCACCTAATACTGGTAAAGCTTTCTTTGCCACTTTCTACATTTATGTTCATTATGTGTATTATAACAATATGTTCCATCGCTACCATCGCCAATGACTAATCCATTGAGCAACAAAAAATGTATTTTTTATACAAAATTCATACAATAGTGTGATAATACGATTCGATAATCATAAGTGTAAATTATTGCTACTGTACTTCGAATATATTTATATTCATTTCTTATTTTAATTCAATAATTTTAATCCAACCTAATTATATGAAAATAAATTGTTGAAGATCAAATATTTTTCGTAATTTGAAACAAAATTATGGAGTTGATAAATAATTAAAATAACGTGCCACATTCTATTAAAAGTTTCAATATATAAATAACTCAACATATTTACTGCAACTTGGCAACCCTAACGCATTTGTGACAATTAAAAATTATATTTGCCATAAAAAAATGAAATAATTTTTCAAAAACAATCACAAATTTTTCGTTTTTAAAATGCAGGCCTAGAAGGTAAATAATTAAATAAAATTTGAAATTAAATTTTAATGAATATATTTTTCTTTTTTTTATCAAATCCGCTTTATACCGTTATAGGATAGGGTAAGCCTAATATAATTTCTTTACCATGGAACGATATCAAATCTTACTCTTTATTTTTCTAGGGGTACAGTACGCTTCCTTCACTAACTAGCACTCCATTCTCAAATAAAATCATCAGTCTACTGCAATTTGGTTTCTTTTCTAAAGTAAATATCAGTGACCTTAAGGTTTCTATTTTGGTAGCTTGTTGAAGCTGCTTGTACTGAAAGTTTTCTATTTTATAATAATTTCCAACCTGCAGTTCAGCCTTTTTGACTGTGATTTCTTCTGCTATCATGTCAAGTTTTTCCCATTACACATCTTAAGCATTTGGTGACAACATATTTTATTATCTTGATTTCAACCATTACTTCCGCTTGCTGAGGACAAATTTCCTATATAATCCATAATTAGAATCAGAGGAAAATACATTTTTTTGATACAGACGCAATTGTGATCAAAACGGGTGATCTATTATGATCTACTTATTGATCAGGATGATATGAACTGTTTTATAACACCTGCTAATCACATAAAGTGCAAAAAATTAGTCCAATAAATTTTTAAGTTCCGCTAATTTTGTTAATTTGTTTCATGCATAGTTTAAAGGTAATAACTCTGAATCCTTATTAATCCCTAGAAAAATTTTTATTGATGTACAATAGAAATTTTAACATGACAAACTAGTTTCCATATTATTATTCTAGTAAATACTGAATTGATGTAAAACTCAATGATTATAAAAGAATTATCAGTACATATTTATATGAAATTACTAAAATTTTTATTTATCTTACAATGTTATAAGATAGATTAACAGTAAATCATATATTTTTATATATGTAAGATTTAAGCTAAAAGTTTCTAAAAAACTATGTCGATAGTTTCAGAATTTTTCAGCAAATTGAAATAAAATAAAACAAATTCATATTTGGTAAGCAAAATCAATTACAGAAACAATCTTTAAAAGCAAAAACTGAAGGCATGGCATCATATGGATCCTTTAACAATAAACTACAACAGAAACATGCAGACCATAAATGTGTTACTGAAAATTATTTCCAAAATGTAAGTTCATTCAATAATTTTAATCAAAAATCCATTCATAACAGTATTTATGTCCAAATAATTCTTTCTATATAAGAACAATAATGGTTATCTAGACATAGAGAAACATTTGAGAATTTGTCGTGAGACATCTGCCATGCTACTTTCCAAACATGACAACTACGTCATGAAGATAAGCGAACTGAAGAATGACCTGAAGTCACTCTCTGGTTTAGTAGTTAATATTAAAGATGAAATGAACAAACGAGATGTTGAAAAAGGTTTTGATGATTGCATGTTTTCAAGAGACTCAAGAGATTCAAACGATTCAAGCGATAAAGTAAGAAAACTAACTTATATTTGATTTTATTTAATTTGAATTATTTCTGTTTGTTAGTTGCAAAGCTCCCTTAAGGCGAATGTTGAACAGTTGGAAAAACTTGTCTGTGAGAAAAGTAGACATCTAGAAGATATAATCAATCAGATACAAGAAGCCGAAAGGAAAACTGCTCAATCAGGGAACGTTGATGATATTTGCAGGCAACTAGAAATATCAAATCTGGAAAATGAAACACTTCGCAATGATATCGCTCGCTACAAAGTACAACAACAACAGACAAATGTCGATTTGATATCAGTTAAAAACGAGCTAACAGAATTCCAACAAAAATATAGTAAGTCAAATTATGTCTAATAATATTATAATATGTAGCAACTTTAATTTATATGTGCCTTGCAGAAGAACTTGAGAAAGAAAATAGTCAGATAAAATCATTACTTAGCATGGAAGCCACATACCGTATAGAGTCAACCTATAGATATAAGAAAGTCACTGAGAAATATGAAGAACAGGCGCAGGCACTCAGAAACGCTAACTATCAATGCACTTATATACAAGGACGATTACAAAACCTCATGGGTGTTTTAGAAGAGTGTCAAATGGAGGTAATAATATACATGTAAATGATTATATTACGCATACTATATAGGTAATACATACTTAACGTGTACTATGTACTATATAATATATAGTTAATATAAATAACTAAAATAATTTCAATAATACAAATTACTTCAAAGCTAATATGAATACTTGAAATCTGTTATGTTTTATGTGTGGAGTTTGAAATAACTTTTAATGTAATGCCTTGAAGATTACTTCTTTTAAAGATTTTAAATCATTATTCCCATAAATACTTCTGTTCCATAACAAATTCTTTTCAGTTTAGTACATTGCTTTCTTTGTATGCCTTTGTCAAGTTTTATAATGTAATAAAAGGTTTTATATCAATATTCCCACAAATAATTCTGCTCCATAATCAATTCTGTTTAGTTTATTATATGATAGTGCTTTCTGCATATTTAGTTGATTTTTTCTTAAATATAGAGGTCTTTTGTTACATTTAGGGTTGGTCACAGTTATTATAAATAACTATCTATGACTAATTATCTGTGATGAATATATATGTATATATATATATATATATGTATTTATATATATATATTGTTGTAATTTCTTTAGCGCGACTTACTACGAGAAGAAGTTATTGCACTGAAACAAAAAGAGGATCAGCTTTGCTCAGATTGCCTATGTTCCAGGAAAGACTTGCAAGAATCCCAGAAATGTATAGAAAGACTAGAGCAAACTTTAGCTAAAAAAACGGAAGAAGATAAGGAAGCTTTACAGAAAATGAAGCTCAGTTGCAACGAATCAGTATCTAAGCTTAACTACCTAATGTCAGAAAATGCACGTCTGCGAGCTGAACTCGGGTAAAATTTGATATAATATTTAATATAAGATTATTTTATTGTTTTTATTAATGAATTTTAGTCAACAAGATTGTCTAATTGAACAAAATGAAAAAGTTCTTGAATCATTTCGTAAATGGAAAGAACAACAAGCTCATACTGATAATCAAATGCAACAGAATTTGAAAGAATATGAGAAACAAATCCAGTAAGTCAATATGTTTTAATATTTGTATAATTGAATTCCTAATTTGTTTCCTTGTGTCTTCAAAATACAGAAAACTTCTTAAGGATAAGAATGCTTTATTGAAAGAGTATAAGTTACTAAGGCAGGCGTATTGTAAACTTAAGGAAAATTCGGAGTGCACCAAGGCCAACATGCAACGGTAATAAGCTTTTATTCTATTTAGTGAGATGATTTTCATGATTTATTTTCTTCTGCTTATAATTAGACAATTTCATCTGTATGATTATTCTGACGACACTTCGGTAAGCACAGTTTTTCATTATTTAAAGAAATATTTTTTTACATGTAAAAATGTTCAACTTTCAGGACTCTGATTACGCTGAATGCCAGGCTGCACAATTGGCTCATCGCTTACAACATAGACAAAAGTACCTCTAAGACCACTGGCCACAGAATGCATTTATATTGCTTTATATTTTCATGTTTATTTTTAAATGTCAAAATATACAGAGAATACATTTTATTATATATATGAATTTTATGAATGTGAAAGAAGCGAAAAAATTTTCAGTATTAATTTTATTCTCATTAGGGGAAATATCAATAACGTAGACCTTCAAAAAATTTTACTGAGAAAACAATGATTTTGTTCATATTCTCAAAATTTATATATATTATTGAATGTATTTATGTTAATAAAAACAACAAATTTTAGTTGAAATATGTTTTACATTTAGCATTTTACTAAGTCCGACAAGAAATTTTATAGCGAAAATGGAAAATTCCTAGACTAAAATGAACTTACTAATTAATTAATTTGACTTTTTTTTAATTTATATTTTTTAATTATTGATTTAATAAATGCTATATTCTATATTAAAATTTGGATAAAAAAAAACGAAAGCACATTACTTGATTATAATATATTCATCAAAGTTCCTTATGAACATTTAAGCCATCTTCCATGGCGTGTAGAATTAGTTGAAAGACAAATTTTAAAAAAATTGAATATTTAACATAACTATTTTCTTGATAAGCGATGTGGAGATATATGCCAAATTATCTCCATCTCTGTAGAAGTTAGGTCGTATTCAGAGATTTATGTTAACTGCAAGCCATCAAAAATAGATAGCAGACATCTTTGTGGACATTTATAATGTTTAACAGTAACGATAAAATCTAATTCATCCTTAAAATATCTTAATTGGAAGTTAACTCTGGTAGAAATTTAGGGTCTTTCAGTCCATAAACCATATCAATAAAAATAAGTGTTAACATATACCTCTCTGTATAATTCAATGAAGTACATATACATCAAACGTTTTTTGTTATTGTAGTTAAAAAATATAAGATATTTGAAAAAAATATAAGATATATTTTTTTAAAAAAAGGAATTGTTTGTATAACGAAAAATTATAAATATTTTGTGGTTTAAATTCTGATCGCTGAGATATTCACAAATGGTTCGTTTTAGTGGGTTCAAATCTTTACTCTGGCTTTCGATACATTTCACTTGCCACAAAAAAAAAATGACTGTATATATAAATAATACAAAATCAACATTATTCTACTTATTGTAATATGTAAGACAGACAACTTAATAGTTATTGTCTCATATAATCTAATTAATCTATCTATCTATTTTATGTACTCTGTATGAGGATCATTGTGTTATAAAAGCATATATAAATACACATAAATACACAGATATGTGTTCAACTATCGCACAGGCGGTATTTATACCATTTCACAGGTAAAAAGAAAGATCTAATCCGGCTAAGTATTTAGCGCGGAGCATAGATTTCCTAAGTAAATCCGTTGACCTGCCATTGACTTTTGTTTAAGTTCATTTGCCACCATCATATCCCCCCAGTAGTCCGTTTGGTAAGCACATGAAAAAGGTATGCATGACATCATGTTTACAGAAGAATGTGAGAAGTCATCATACTAAAAGAATGTACTGGTAATGTATGATGTCATGCGGCTTTTTTTCGTTACTCTTCGTGAAATTAACCGAACGACAGATATTTTTTTTTCATATTTGTTGTTGTTGTATTCCTTCCTGTACAATTATTCGAGCATGCTCAGTATTCGTGTGCATTTAAGTGCGGAGCGTTTAATTTTTCGGTGCGGATCGATTTTGTGAATTTTTGGTGTATTGCTAAATTTATTAAATTTAATAAATTAATAAACGAATATTATTTAACAAAAGAAATTTATAATATATTGTGAATTTGTGTTTAACAATATTAATTATTGTTTTTCCTTCGGAATTCCAGTGTAAGTTGAAATTTAAATTGAAAACATTTTTTTTGATTGCGCTTTATATACCTGGCGGGTTTTTTAAAAACTATATTTATTATTTCTGTTTCAGTCTACAGTTCTGTTGCTGTTTCCAGTTTATTTACTGGAATATTTATTTATATATTTGGTTGTTTCCTAATTATTTAAATGGAAGGTTTTTCAAAAAGAAATGTTAGACGGTTATGTGCAAAAAAGAAAAGAGAACTGTTAGCATTAGGCGGCAATGTATCAGAAAACATTGATCCCAGTGTTAGTAATAGTGGTAGCTTAACGCAAGATGCAATTCAGGAGAATTTAGAATATTGCGATGATACAGGGAATACTAATAATACAATATCTGACATCAATGTAGGATTTAAACCCAAACATACAAAAATGGCTGAATATAATATTGAAAGTGAATTTAATATAAATAAATTAACATTGCAAGAACGATTAACCAGAATTGAAGAATCTGTGGGAAAAATTTCTCAAAATCAGGACGCGATACTCAAGGAGTTGAAATTAGTAAAAGGTAACATTACTAACATTACTAAATAAAAAAAAATTATTTATGAGAATCCCTTTTTTTTACAGAAAGTAACATTGACGTTATAGGAAAATTCCACACACTCATGAACATGATGGAAAAGAGAAGCGATACAGCAGTTTCTGATAACTGCTTTCCCATCAAGACGTTTGAAGAATTGGGGAATATGGACGCACTTTGTGCAACTAAAAGTGCTCAATATGTAAGTTCAATTTCATACAATCAAAAACTAAATATACAAAATTTTTGATTATATTTTAATTGAATTACTTCGTACGATTTATAAATTTTTTTCTTTTTGAAACCATTTAGGCTAAATTAATAAAATCCATTATTCAACCGGAGGGAATAAAAAAAAACTTACATCGAATCATCGATCGAACGTTAGTTCTGGAGTTAAATTATGATGGAATTGGCACCAAAAAAGCATTTAAGGAATTTAAATTCTTAAATGCTTCAATATTCGGTATAAAAAAATTGATGTATATATATAAATAAATAAATAAAACTAACAACTTATTTTTCTTTACAGAAGCCTTGCAAAAAGATGGCTATACAGAAAAGGAGTATATTTCGGATATACGAATAGCCATAAAGAATGTTAAAGGAATTTATTATAAATAGCAGTACAACGACCGGAAGAAGCACAGAATGGAAGAAAGCAGCAAATAATTTTTATTTATTTATATAATATTTATAATAATAAAAAAACAAATAAAAAAAACATAAAAAAATTTAAAATCTATAATTATAATATCAATAAATATTGCTTTTGTAATTTTTATTTATTTATATTAAAAAAAATTTATATTTATATAAAAAAAAATTAAAACAAAAAAAATTATAATTTATAATATTGTAATTTTTATTTATTTATATTAAAGAAAAAATTAAAACAAAAAAAATTAATAATATTTATATTTAAAAAAAAATTTAAACCAAAAAAATTTATAATCTATTGTTTTTGTAATGTTTATTTATTTTTCTAATAAATTAAAACAAAAAAATATATTGTTTTTTTATTTTTTTTATAAAAATTTATTTTAGAATAAATATATGTAAAATGCAAGAGCATGCATTTAACATCCTTACAACCTACTGACTTCGTAAGCTACAAAAGAAGGTGACCACCTTCTTTGGAAGCAGGTCTTAAGGCAGAAAATGATCACCTCATATTTTGCGTGCACAAGCATCGCCCATGACGATTTAGTTTACTTTGTCATGCTTACAACATGCTTCCATCGTAAAGTGCATTTGGATTCGTAAACGAAGTTTTACGAATGTCAATTCCGTATTTCGTGCCGCATACCTTTTGCACTTTACCAAGTCATGCATGATTTCGGCGGCCAACTGCTAATAAAAGTCATGGGAATTCGGAAAGGAACTCGTCATGATGACCGGCGAAAAGTAAGCATGATGTAAGGGAAGATAGCAGCATGACGGTCCCTACTGGGCCACTAAATACTAAACTAGCGTATGTAATGGACTTCCAGCACACCTCTTTCGCCTATCTTATCACCCAAATTTATTAATTTTTTAGCTATAATATGTTAATATATTGTAATATGTAATATTACACTATCTTTTAATTAAAACAGCTTATTTAATCTAATTTTATTAAGAAATAAATGAGAAATATTGTTCTTAAAAAAACCCAGTTTTTTGAAATTTAATGTATTAAGTAATAAAATAACTAAAAAAGATTTAATATGTACTACTACTATAGCTCACTTTCCCCGGTGGAGCATAGGGTCTCAATAATTCTTCTAAATCTTACTTTATTTGGTGTTTCCTCTATAGATATCGTTCCATATATATCGTGCTTCAGCTAGCTCACTCTCAACCGTTCTTCTACACGTTTTCGCTGGTGCTTCAGACTTACTACTACTTTGTGGACTCCATGTCAAAGTTTACCTTGCTATTTAATTTCTCGATTGTTTAAGCGTATGGTATATCCACTTCCACTCTCTCATTTTTATCTTAACATAGTTTGTGCATCGTTTTGATTAATTTGGTTTACCAGATGTTTATTTGATGCTCGATGTGATCACTATATTTTAAGAGTTCTACGTAGATACTTGTCTGAAGTGCTTCCATGTTTCAATGCCATAGTACAAGATAGATGTCGTATTTGTGTTAACTGCCCACTGAGTTTACTGGATTGTCATATATGGTGAAGTTAACCAAATAAGGCTTTCGCTTTGTTGATGCAAACAAGTGTTAATTTGTTTAAACTGTCAAAGGCTTTTGTGAAATCTAAGAAGGCCACATAGATGATTGCTCTAAACTTATTTAACTGCTCAAAGATAATGTCAATAGTATTTATCAGATCAACTAATTATTTATTCTAACGGAAACTCGTTTCGTCTTGACTTAGCTTTTGCTACTGTGAAAATTGTATTTTCTATAATTGCTGTAAAAATTTTGGTTAGGATCGGCAATAACCTTATGACTCTAAAGTTATGGCAGTCGCTTGCGGCTTCTTTCTTTGGTATTGTTACGAGTAACGACTTATTCCAGTTACTCTCAGTTATAGTTTCTAAATCCAAGATCTTTTTCATAATATGCCACCGTATATCAACAGAAAGTGACACATTGCATTTTAGTACTTCTGCACATATGGTGAATATACCTGGAGCTTTCTTATTCTTTGGCGCGATATATAAATAAATATAAAAAAGAAGCATTAAGCAATTAGCCTATTTATATAAATTATAGATGTATATATAACTGTTACATATAACCTGTTTTAATAAATAATAAAAAAAACATTTAGAGCTAAGAAACTGGGTTTTTAGCTAAGGAAAGTTATATGTCAAACATTTGTTGGGTCATTTGTCTTTAAGTTTCTCAAACATCATTACATTGGAATGCATTTAACTTTTCTCTAAAAAACGCGATTTTTTTATATAATTAGAAACCTTTTAATTTAATTCCAACAATTTAACTTGAGAAGTTTTTCATGCGACTTTTTTGGTCCTCCATTAAGAATTTCCTAAATTGAATTGGTCTGAGCGGGTATAAGAATTAAGTAAAGCATGAACTTGCACTTTATATTAATGTTTTTTCGACTTTGCTTTGAAGAAACGAGAAAAAAAAATTATATTTAAATTGCATTTAAATTTTTTCTAAAATTTATTTTAACATATTTTTGCATTAGAATTTTGCAGTCATTTTTTAAGGAATTTTTTAATTTAACGCTCAATAAGCCAACGTTTAGCTCGTTCTGTTACCACAATCGCGCTTCCATAATGCCTCTTGCAGCAATTCCAGCAGCAACGGCAGCATCCACCAACAACAATATTACTATCAGCAGCAGCAGCAGTAGCAGCAGCAATTGTAGTGTTTTTCCAAGATTGATGGGAATTTAAATTGAACACATTTTGTTTTAAATATGTGAGCACTCTACTGTCTGTCGCTTTAATGCGCTATTGTCCTGCGATATCCTCTCGCTGGTACATGTGAATGAGTCTGTGTGTACGCCAAGACTTCCTGTTGAAATTACAGTGACGCACATAATTCCTAAACCATACAAATTGTGTTGACATTTGTCGTTTTCGGGTATTCCTTTTATTTGTTTTTGGCTGTTGTGCGTTGACAGTTTTATGTCCTTAAAAATAATTTAGACAAAAAAAAAACAAAGTATACTTTTAGGGAAATATGTTAGTGTGCATAAATAGCAAAGCGTTTCTGTTAAAGAAACATTCAAATAGTTTCGCTTTAAAAACTAATAAAGCAAAAAATAATTTATAATTAATAAAATAAGATAAAAGCATTAAAATTTAAATTTAATGTAAAAGTTCTTGTACAAAAGCCATGAGCCACGTCGGTACTTAAATGCTACTAAAAAGTGTTTTAAATTGTACCCAAGTTGCTTGTTATTCACTTAAAAATTTTACACCAAAAGCATTTTCAGAATGTTAAACATAATTTTTAGTGCTTAAGTATCTTAAAAATTGCTTAATAGCTCCTAGGAGTGCGCACACACCTGAACTCAGTCAGCTACTCGAATGTGAAAGGGTATGAACCCGTTCGACTTAATAAGAAAATAAATGTGCACACTTTGTTAAATTTTCGTATTAGTATATCGAGCTGAGATGAGTTGAGATACTTTCGCAAGTTTAGGGAAACCGTACGCAGCCACATCGTACATGCACCGCATGAAATGCGAAGTGAAAACACCTGCAGGTGTTAACCTTTTCGCACCAAAAACTTTGTAAATTTATGCCTCAATTTTCAATTTTCTAGTTTTGGCTTAATAAATTTGAAATACTACGTGAACAAATTAAATTACAGCTTTTATTATGACAAACGGGCTATGAATGCTTCCATTAACACAATGAACAAATAAATATAAGTTTAATCGTTTTAATTAACTTGTTTATGTGAAATGCAGTTAGATGAAGACTTTCAGCGAAATAATAATAAAAATTTTAATACAACATTATTCTTATAAATTTTATTTTAATATTTTTAGTCCTTAAGATAAAGTCATTAGCAAATAAATATTCAAATAAATGCAAATTGTGTACAGAGACTATATAGAAATATACATTGTAATTTAATAGATATTTAGTATACCAAGTTTATATCCAATAATTTTATATATTTAGAATAAGATATATATAATTTGATTTTAGTGGAATAGTAGCAATTAAATAGAACATTTATTCTAATAATTTCACTTTTAGTGAAATAATTAGTAAAAAAGTTTTGAGGGACTATAAAAGAATATATATAGCTTAAAATTTAGTAGAAATTTAAGATGCATCAAATTTGAGAATGCAATGATTATATATATATATATTTTATTATATATATACTAGATAACCCGACAAACGTTGTTTTGCCTTATAAAATATTTCTAGTTTCTAGATAAATTCTAGTGTAGACAAAAAGTAACTTACTTATTATAAGTGTGTAAGTATGTGGTATATGCATGAAATAGGCATGGAGCGCTATGAACGAAAAGGATAATAAAAATAACAAACGCCAAACAATATTATTTTTAAGTTATTATAGTTTATTTATTAAATTATTAATTTAAAATCAATAGATTTTATGATACCAAGTTCCCTGGCAACAACTGTTGTATCTTCAAATTTAAATTGTCTTGGATTGACTGTAAATAATAATAATGATAATGGGCCAGTAACATTAACCAACAACAGTCGAAGATAAAAGCACTCAGTGTGTCTTGGATTAACTATAAATAAGCGTTCGATTTAAATAAATTGAGACATGCATCAACTGGTGAAACTTGCTTGCGGGGCATCCATTTTTTTGTTTGAGGCCATGTGAAATAGCGTGGTACTTGTGAATAGAGTAATGTTCTTGCAAAGGCACCAAAATCATCCGTACTATTACACAATTCAAAAAATGCAGTGAGTGTAGATTTAGGTGGATTTGTACCACGATCAATCACTGTCTCGTTCGTGAAAAATACACGCTGACCGTTTTCAAGATGGACGGCTACCTGAACAGCTGCTGGATCCCGTTCATGAATTAGAAAACCGAAGATACGCCAAGCAGCTTCATTGGAGCTGATGTACCGACCAATTTGGTAGAGCGTAATTTCACCGTTTTTGTTCATTGGAGGAGCATTTACATTAGTATTTTCTACTCTAAACACAGCCATATCACTGCCTTTATGGACATAC